GAAACGAATTCGAGCTAGAGCTTCACTAAGTCGTATCAAACTCTCAATCTGCCTAGGTGTTGCTGTTATCACCTGTTAAGTGATCAATTAAACGAACATGATTGATTACAGAATTGAGGAATGCGTTAATAGATCTTTAAGATCGAAAACACCTAAAAATTGCCACATTGAATGTATTTTGCAAATAAAGCAAGCAAAAAAAAAAGGGAAAGAAAGAAAAGAAATCAGATTAAAACCGCAAAAGGAATCATCACTTGATGGGAAAAATATTATATCATGTGACTGATGTTACAATGGATGGTAACATTCTTTTATTTATTCTGCTAAACGAGCACGCATGACGAGAACCATGTAGGAAAATTTGTATAACTGCTACCTTTTTGCTACTGCCTGGAAAATTTCCTCTCCTCCTCAATTCAACATAACCTCTAGTCAACTCTTCAGCAGCTTCATCAGATAATTGTGGATGAATATGCTTTCGCGCATATCCCACATATGCAGTCAACGTGGCAAGGTCTAAGACATCCTGCTGTATTGTCTGCAAGTGGAGACATGGAATTTTAAAGATGAGCAAGAGATATGCTAAAAATTAGTCTTTTCAATAAGTGAAATCACAAATTGATCATACCTCAGGATTCTCAAAGTGTAATGCAACAATATGCTTTGCAAGGCGCCTGTCTGTATGCTCATCAGCCTTGTCAAGGAGTAAGTAGATCAGATCGAACCTGAGAAAGATTTAACGGCCAGAGAGCAGGTCAAAATCGTTAAAGAACTCTAGTGATGTTGTCAACAACTTCATAATTTTCAGGTGCTATTGGGCTTCGATGACAACATTCAAGAATAAAGAACTTTTACAAACCATGCAAGATGACGAATTTGACATTCTTTACACCAATAAGTCATTAAATAAGACAAACATATGCAAAGCCATAGTTAAATCATCGTTTAGGCCCTTTTGATATGCTCATGGCATGGCATAGGTATCTTCTTACCTAGATAATAAGGTAGGAGGGAGGTGTATGTTGTCAATTACTGATAAGCGAGGATTATAGCGTGAACCACTTGGATTTGCACAAGCCAAGACTGAAGTCCTAGCATTAAGGGAAGCAATGATTCCTGCCTTTGCTATCGAGACAGTTTGCTGTTCCATCACCTGGGGGAATATAAGTGTATTTAGAAAGAAACAATCAATGGCTAAATAGTTGCACATAAAGGAATACCAGAATGCATTTGCTGAAAATGTACCAAGTAGTATATACTTAATACACCTAGCATACTGACATACTGTGGACATCTCTTATATGCCAAAAATAAATTAATGGTTTCACAAAAACAGAAACAAAATGGAAATTAAACTGTCAAACTTTAAAACATATAATCTTGGATCTTCAAATTGTCAAACATTAAAGCATATATTCTGGATTTTCACATATCACTCAACAAGATGTAGAAGATAAAATTTCCAAATTTATAAAAAGAGATAATTCTATAAGCATTTGAAAGAAAAAAATGCACATATCTCCCATATATATATATATATATATATATATATAATAAGTGACGAAATAACCAACCTCATGTAACATGCTCCTCGCACTGTCAGACATTTTGTCAAATTCGTCAATGCAACAAATGCCTCTATCACTTAAAACTAACGCTCCACTCTCTAAAACCTGAAGAATCATAACATATTTCCACTCAACTTCATATATTTGTACAAAATATTCAAAAAATAATTTTTTTTAAACAAAAACATACTGTTTCCCCTGTTTCAGGATCTTTCGCAACATAAGCAGTCAAGCCAACAGCAGAACTCCCTCTTCCACTAGTGTATATTCCACGGGGAGCTAGCTTGTGTATGTACTGGAGCAGCTGGGACTTGCTGGTTCCAGGATCACCAACAAGAAGAATGTTAATATCACCACGGAAGCGAGCACCGGATGGCAACTTCAAAGCATTCCCACCAAAAATCTGCATTTACAACAATTAACAATGAGAATCAGTTCAGCAAATAATTAAAGACAAACTAATTTGCTCAATTAATCAACAAAATACTTAAGGAATCAAAAAGTTAAATATTTAAAGCACCTGGCAAAGAAGGCCTTTTTTGACATCATCTAACTCCCAGATGTTTGGTGCTAAAGACCTGGTTAATCGATCATATATATCAGGCTGTTTTGCCAGCTCTTTCAATTGTTCCACCTGCAATTCCAGCAACAATATGATCAACACAGACAATACAAGCAAAGCCTGATGCAACCGCAAATGAATAAGATAGTATAAATTGATGTACCTTTTTTTCATCAAAAACAATTTCATCTGAGTGTCCAGCCACAGAATTGTCAACTTCCACCGGATTTTGATCCTCTGCCAGCATTCTTGACTTGTCAGATTTTTTTATATGCAGGCAATCAATGTATGTCTGCAATCAAAGAAAAGGATTGTTATATCCAGGCCCCTAGAGTGAAAAAGGAGCTTAAAATTTCACAGCCAAAAAGATAGAAACATGCCTTGAACAATGATTTTACAGTTCTCTGAGTTGGTCCAACTCTAACGGTCATAGCCCTGTATATCCCAGTAACCTATTGGAAAGGAACACATTAAAGATAACAAAAAATATACGTATCTTTCTTAGGGTCATGCAAACGGTTACAACATGGACTTACCTCAATTCTATCACCAGGTTTTCCAGCATCAACCAGTTTGTCATGCATCAACAAGCTCACCGTATGCGGTGTTCCTCCTTCAGGGATCTCATCAGGAGTCTCCTGAAGCCTCACAATCTGTTTATCAGTAAATCTGATTCAAAAGTAGTACCCATTAGATGTATATTCATCATAAAACTCTATTTTCAAACTGTAAAAGTCATATTGTCAAATCAGTTGTTAACTGAATCAGTTTATTTCACAAGTTTTGTTACTCAGTAACTCTCCTTTCAGTTGTATTTCATAGAATAGATTGTGCCATTTCATAAACTGTCTTGATCAGAAGTCTGAACCTATTGAAGTTTAGGACAAAGGGTTTAGATTTGAATGTTTGCCACTTCAGCCACAACCATGAGTATCATGATCCTTTGAACTTTGCTTCAGTTTAAAAACAATTACAGGCGCTGCAAGTTATATTTGTCAATTTTTCAATATTAGCATTCAAAGGCTCAGAAATACACAGGTGTCCATGATCCGGTAAAAGCAAAATTTTATATGCATCTCAAATGCATCAGTGGTTTAAGCAAAATTGCAAAAAGAAAGGAGATCTCCAGAGATGGAAAAGGTGAAATTAAAGAGGACAAGCATATTAAACACCTTAAAGAAGGATTGAAATTTTTTTCTTTCTCTCTATGTGCAAACATACTTCTAGAAACCATCAAACAAAAGACCAAATGAGAGTCTAACCCAAACCAACACATAATTTCACACTTAAATTCACGCTACGACCTTGAAAATTCCAAATTAATGCCACGAATTACCTGCATCTGTTGTGAACAAGTGTCATAGAATTCCTGGCTTGACACTCTTCCTTCAAGCATATTGTAGGCTCAGTTATGCGCCCTGATAGCACTCAAAATTCAACATATAAGAGAGGAATCCATCTACATCAACATGAAACAAATAAACATGTGATCCCAAAGAGATTACCTTTCTCTACCGGAAGAGGGTCAGAGTAGTAGCCACACACAAGGCATCTAAATATTGCTTCCCTTATCTCGGGTATTATTGAACTAGACCGAATAATCATTCCCTTCAATGAAACCATCCTCTCAATGTCTAGTAATACATTTACTCAAATCAGTCCACATATCCAAATACACATTACATTGATCAACAAACAAGAAGCCCAAAACCAAACGAAGGAAAATTGGATTGAAATACAAGAAGATAAAGAAAACTAACCAGATGGGTTGAGATTTCTCATTGAAGTGGATGTTTTGAGATTATAAATCCGTGTTTGAATGTGCTTTTCGAACAACGGGTTTATGACGGGCAGCATTTCCATCAAAACAATATCGAAAATTGCAAGAACCTCAAGTGGGTATCTGACCATCTTCGCATACAAGTCCGAATCATAATCAAACACATTGCGTGCATCAACATCGAGCGAATCTTCTTCCATTTCAATAACTCTCTTGATGGCCTCAATGTACTTCCCTTCCGTAAGGTACTCACTCTCCGTATTCCACTGCGACTCGTCCCGAAAATTCTTCAGGAACCTAACGATCGCCACCTTAACGTCGTTCACGCTGATGTTCGTGCCCCAAACGAACGTGGGCCTGTCCTCGTCCATGTCGTAGCCGTCGCCGCCTTCCGAAGACGGCGGGACGTCACCGTCAGTGGAGGAGGGGGTTGGAGCGGCACCGTTTTGGCCATTCGCGCGGCGGGTGCGCGATGGGGTTGGGGTTGTTTCGGAGCCGGAGAACCGGGACCGGTTGGCCCTTGGAGTTGCGAATTCCGAAGACGGCGTAGTGGATCGGCGCCGCCGTCTCTGCCGGGAAGCGCCGGCAGGGGAGGAGGAGAGTGTGTTGCCGATTGGGCTCGAGAAGGAGTCATCGGGAGACGAAGGTCCTGTGAAAAAATGAAATGAAATGAAATTGAGATTTACAAATACATGAAAACAAACGATTCTCGGGGCGAGAAAGAGAGAGAAGGAGACTTACCATTGTTGAAGTCGGCCGGCGTAGAATCAGAAGCCATGGCTAGAGAGAGAAAGAGAGAGTGGGGTTTGGAGGGTTTGGGCAGCCCAGAGTGTTTGCTTTGTCTGTTGGGTTAGGTTTTGGCGCCAAGAGGCTATGATTTTCCCGCCAGAAATCCTGGCTCGGGTTTTGGATGGTTTTCTTCTTCGTTTATAGGACTGGGCTTGGATAGGTTTGAGGCCCATTAAGAGCACTTCTTTAAATATATAAGATGGCAGAAAAAGTAAACAAAATAAAGCAAAGGAGAAGAAAAGACAAACAAATTAATGACACAGAAGGAGATGACAAAGCCTATTTTCGATGGAATATACAAATGGAGCGTTCATTAGCGGATATACTTAGAGAAGAACGTCAGATCGGTCACAAAGGAGATGGTGATTGGAAAGCAATTGCTTATAACACAGCTGCTGCCATATTGTCTGCACAATTTGATATTAAAGTAAGTGCTGATAACATAAGAAATCGTGTTAAAACCTGGAAAAGGTTTTATGGTATAGTCAGTGATATATTAAGTCAGAGTGGATTTAATTGGGATGCAACAAAGAAGATGATCAGTGTAGATGAAGACAATGTTTGGGATGAGTACGTGAAGGTAATTTATAATGCAATTGTATCTTTTTGAATGACTAAAATTGTGGTAAATAACATATGGTTAACTTTGATTTTTTGCTTGATAGTCTCATGAAGATGCTAGAACTTTTCGATTTAAAGTGATTGCAAACTGGGATGATATAGTGGATTTATGTGGCAAAGATAGAGCTACTGGAGAGGGTGCTGAAACATGTGCAGAAGATGCTGAGGTTATGACTCTTGAGAGTGATCCCAATAATATTGTTGATTTGGAAAGTGATACCCAAGGTTTTGAGAGTTGTCAAGTTGATCATGTTTCACCCAGCTCTAGTTGTCCGAAGAGAAGAAATCAAAATCCTTCTGATATTCCCCCACCAAAAAAAAAGGTACAACTAATATTCTTGCTGATTCAATGGCTAAGATGGCTTCATCTTTGGAACACTTTATCAATTCTACAACACAAAAGCTTGATCCAACATAAGTATATAATGAAGTCATTGCAATTCCAAATCTTAGTCCAGATGAACAACTAAAGGCAATGTCTTGGTTTATAGAAAATGAGAAGCAGTTTCTCATGTTAAAGACAATTCCAACCGAAAGAAAGAAGGGAATTGTGTTGATGTTTATTTCACCGAGAGCGTAGACACATTTTATATTCAGTTGACATCTTTAATTTTTGCTATTTTGTTGAAACATTGGTTGGGATGATTAGCTTCATTTTTTTAATTACGTGATTTACGTTTTTTTTTTTAAAATTAGACAAGCTACAGTTGCAATTCTTTACATTAGTAACAATTGAGGTATGTGCTGTTAGACAATTTTTGTACTGCACAGGTCTTTCTAATTATATATATAATAATAATGTGTTGAACTATGCTAATTATTCCTATCCAGATTTTATATACAAGACTGTTGTAAAAAAAAATGTTGTTGGTTCTAAGTAAATTCTAATTCTGTGATGTTTGGAATTCTGTGATGACTATCCAAACAGGTGAAATTGTAATTTCTGTCATTTCTTAAATTCCGCATATATAATATCCAAACGCTGAAATTTGCAATTGACGGAATTTTTAAATGATGTAATTGGAAATTCCGTCATTTACAATTTCCATGGAAATTAGAATTACTCCATCCAAACACACAAGGCAAGTGTTGTCACTATTTATGTGAATAATGACAGCCCTTGCAATTTTGTTTCCACCCCTATTGGCAGAAGCAATTACCATTCACTTTAATTTATTTTCTATTTTTTATACTTAAATGATTAATTTTGATAAGATTTTCGGTTGCCACCTGTTATTATTTATTATAAAATTTCCTGATAAGATTTTTGGATTAAATTTTCGAATAAGATTTTCGGTTGCCACATGTCCATATTTATTATAAAATTCACATCTCAAATTTTAGATAAAATTTTCGGATAAGATTTTTGGTTGTCACGTGTCTATATTTATTATAAAATTCACGTCTTACTCATCATACAATTGAAATACCTACTCACGCATCATACAATTGAAATACAACCTATCCTTATAGTTCGACACAATCACGTACAAGGAAGACTCAGTCACTGGTGGAGTCAGTCACCAAATCACAACGTGGGTGAGTATTTTCCTTCGGATGATGTAATAGTGCCATTATTTCTGACACAGAATGCACTATGGGAACCGACTGCGAGCATTGTTCACTTAAGGAGCCATGTGTAATGGTTTTCCTCTTTTTTGTTTTGCCTTGAATAATTTTTTTTTTTAAATGAAATTGAAAATGCAAGAAAATATCAACAACAAAAAAATGACATTAAATTGAATAAAACTTTTTTTTTTTTTACCTCGTCACCAAGATTTTGACCACTTCAAACATTTGTCCACGAGCCTCCGACTTCGATGGAAGAGGCCATTTGTATTTTTACACAAATGGAAGTAGTATAAAATTTGGTGTGAAAAGTGAAAAATATTGGAATGAGAAGAATTTGTATGAAGATTTGGTGTGAAAATTGAATAATATTTGTAAGTATTTATAGAAACAAATTCAAGGATTTTTTTATATTTGTTACAAATGTTTTCAATTTTTTTTAGCCAAAAAAGGGGCAGCCGTTGGATTGGAGGACATTTTTTGATCATAGCCTCCAAGAGAAGCCACATGACTTGTAGCGGTTGGTTTCTAGCATTGCTAATGCCAGCATTGAGTCAGCGCTGATGTCAGCTACCGGAAGGCAAGACGACAGGCCAGATCTTCCCATGGGCTTGACCAGGCTCGTGGGTTCCACGCCTTGTCCTGGCTGGGTCTTTCGCACTGGAGCTACCCTCATGCTTAGGCTAACCCATTGCATTGGAGCTGCTCTAAATGAAAGGATCACAGTCTCTTGCCACGTGTGTTATTACAATGAATCAATTTACAACATTAAAATGTGCCATACAAATGGAAATTTCAAATTTGATCCATGATTACTCACAAATAATCTAATACTGTTGTTTTCTTCTCAGCAAGGAATTCAAGATACGGTTGTCACGTACTGCCAATAATTTTTTACGTCCATTGGGGCTGAGTTGTCAGATTTGGTGGAGTCATTCTATAGTGAGGGCCTTAGATGAGATCCTATCTCTTAATCGTTTGATCAAACTAACCAATTTGATCAAACGTCTAACTAATTTGATCCAACGATTAAGAGATAGGGTCTCATATAAGAGCCTTAGATAAGGCACTCATTATAGAATTCTACAATTTGGGTGATCTGGTTAGTGGGCGAGTCACTGATGACATGAACCAGTTGTCGCTCAGAAAGTTTAATGCAGAAGAGATACAAGCTGCTTTGTTTCAAATGCATCCTTCAAAGGTGTCGGGGCCAAATGCCATGTTCCCTTTGTTTTACAAAAAAATAAAAAAAATAAAAAAAAATTTATGGGATGTGGTTGGTCTCTGCTAGTGGTGATTAGCTCACTCAAAGTGCTTTTGTTCATGGAAAAACAATATCCGACAATTCTATTATAACTTATGAATACATTTAATTAATTATGATTACATTTAACTCATTATAGTCGCATTTAATTTATTATCAATGGTCCAAATGATAGGCCATCTGTGGCTTTCCCATAAACCAAACTTGTAATATATTCTTCTAATTAAGAACCTACACATAGCATTATGGAGGGCAAGACTAGAAAAGCGCAAGATACTAGAAAAGGAAAGATCTTCAGGCACATATGCTCTCCTCCTATTTCATTTCAAGGATTGTTGTTGATCTCCCCATGGAGCTTGTGCTTCCAACCCTATTTGTCATCATAACATATTGGATGATTGGGGTCAAGCTTAGAGCAGGACACTTTTTCCACACCTTGCTTATTCTGCTACTCAGTGTGTTGGAAATTTTTTCAAAATTTAAATGTCTTTGGGCTTCCCATGATTTTTTAGGCCTCAACAACAGGTAAATTTGTAGGTACATTATATTGTATTGATAATAATTTACCTATTATATTTTATTGGGACAAAATTTGAGGAATTTTTTATTGGTCGAAAATTGAAGAATTTTTTTATTGGTCGAAATTTTAGGGATCAGAGGGAATGCCTAAAAAAAAACTTGAGTCATTGATATGCTATAAATGAGGAAGTATTAATTAGAAATAAGGGACTTAATGACATGCTTGAAAATCGTCAGGTTGACTTATTTGAAGTATGGTGGCAAACAATGTAAATATGTACGAGTACTATACCCTGTTATATATTTTAGTTTGAATTTGGGTTATATATTTTAGTTTCAAAATTAATAGATTGATATCTAGGAAATAGAAATTGTATGGGCCTATATTAGACCAGCCCTTGATTTTACAAGTTTTCATGTTGTAATATTTTTCAAGTTCTTGTACGGATAATATTTTTCCATTGGTGTTGTAGGTAGGCATGTAAAATGGGTCGAGTCGGGCCAATTTGGCCATAAAAAAGAATAGCCCAGACCTTACCCAATCACGGGCTTTTTCGGCCCTAAGGGGCAAGGCCGGGTCTGTCATATTTTAAATATGGTAAGCTAATACACTACTCAATGGCCTAAATTTTTTGGGTTCATGAGCGAGCTATAAGCTGAGCCTATGTCGACCTATCAAATGGGTCAGTGATAATAAATTAATTGTAATTATAATGTATTAAATTTAAGCATAATTAATTAAATGTACTCATAATTAATACTAGTTTACTTTTATCATAATATTACTCATAATTACTACTAGTTTTTACGAATCTGATGAACCTGACCCGGCACAACGTCATCAATATAGGGTTCCATGCTAAATTGGTTATTTAGCTCACAAGGAGGATCGGAGTTACAAAGAAAAAGTTTTGTGGGTTTTTAATTAGAATAATATATTACAAGTTTGGTTTATGGAAATGCCATAAAAGGCCCACATGATTAGTATAGAAATCTGTCAAGTAAGTACAAAATAATATTCTAATCCTTTAATTTTACAAGTTTTTATGTTATAATATTTTTCTATTAATGTTGTAGGTAAGTATGTAAAATAGGTCAAGTCGGGCCATCTATAACCTAAAAGGCATTAGCCCAGACTCTAACCAATCACATGCTTTTTCGGCCCTATGGGTTGAAGGAGCAAGGCCCAGCTTGCTCTATTTTAAATATGCTAAGCTAATACCCTACTCAAGGGCCTAAAATTTTCGGGCTAATGGCCGAGCTTTTATTAGCCAGTAAGTGATTTGACAAAGCATGAACAGGTAAGGTGTGGTGCAGAGATAAGGAGGGAGTGAGTGTAATGGAACTTGCCCTTGTCACGAGTGTGGTACTATCTTTGCTTCTTAGTCTTCTTAGCAACTTCTATAATTTTGTTGTTGTTGAAGTTTTAGGCTTAAAACTTTTTAATTTTGAGTTCAGATTTTTTGACACCCTTTTAGCAAGACCCTAAGTGATTATTCGAATAAGAAAAATAGTTTACCTTTTGGCCATTGTCACAAAGTGTGTAAAATATTTTACCTTTTGGTGTTCATGATTTCGAATACTTTACTTTTTGGTGTCAACTACGCAATGTCTATGATATTTTAGAGACTACGTTGATGTGTCTATTTTTATGTTAGTGTATGTGCGCATGCGCAAATACACTATGTTGTAGCGTCTATAACGGTTTGTATTGCATTGTATACTTTGTATTGCACATCGTTGGTTTTGTCTATACTCTTTTTTATATATATAATATAAATAATGATTTAAAACTTGTAAATTTGTGTAACATTGTATTGCAGTTTGTATAATATTTCAAACCCTTATAGACCCTTATGTTGCAATGTCTATAATATTTCATACACTACTACAATGTAGTTTGCGTTGCATCGTATACTTTTTATTGCGCATCATTGGTTTTGTAAATATATATTTTATATAATATAAATAAGGTTTTAAAACTTGCAAATTTATATAACTTTAAATTGATATATTTATGTAGAACACTATAGTATGAGTGCTTTGGTAAATCGATATTGAAATGAATATTTACAACAACAAAAAATCCTTTTCACTTTTAATATAAATATTATACAA